TACTAGGGGCACTGTAGCTCCTGGTTGACGCCTCTGCTCGTCTTTTAACATCACGAGCTCATTTCCCTGCGCACAACTGCAATTGAGATGTCTTCTTTCATACCCGGCCTCACTTGTGTAGCACCTTTGTACGCTTTTCATGTGCCATGCGCAGTTCCAACTAGATTGCAGTTGCGAGGTACTCACAAAGACCTTGGCAGAACTGGACATGTTTTGACCAAGCGAAGGGTGAAGTCTTTCGTCGCTCGAGCAGATGTGCCTCTTCCGCTTGCTTCTGTGGCTTCTTCAACACCATTAAATGCTTTCAATCGAATCTCAGTAGGAATTGCTGGAGTGGCTTTGGCAATCGCTTTATCAAACGCATCAACATTCTCGCCACACCATCATGGCGATGCGCACTTCGTAGTCGCTTCAGCATTTGCTGAAACTGAAACCGCGACAAATTTTTCAGTGTCATCCTTATCCGTGGAGGAACGTAAGGCACTTCGGGAAGAGTCTCGCCGTCACACAAGGGCTGCAGGGAAGGTCGCACAAAATTTTGCACTGGCACGTCGCCAAGCTTTGGCTGGCGATATCCCAGAGGCACTTTCCACCTACGATGCAATCACAAAATCTGACCCGGACTTTGCTCCGGCCTACTCAAATCGCGGGAATATCTTCGCTGCTCAGAAGAAATTTGATCAGGCTATAACTGAATATGACCGTTCCCTCGAGCTGGCGCCCTTGGACAACGACTCTTGGGTCGTCTTTGTGAATCGTGGTGTTACTAAACTTGCCAGGGGAGACGACCCATACATAGCTTTGGCAGATATGAATATTGCCAATGAGTTGCGTGCTGGGAATGATATCATTTTGTCAAACAGGGCTGGCGTTTGGGAGGTGATGGGGAAGTGGGATAACGCAATTAGAGATTACCAAGCTGCTCTTCAATCAAATGATGTGCAACCTTTCTGGGAGCGGTACGGTCTGGTATTGTTCCAACGAAACAAGAGTTATGAGGCGCTGTCAATTTTAAAAAGGGTTGCAACGAGGTTTGACGTCAGTGACGTTCATGCGGCTATGGCGGTCATATATTTCGACAGGGGAGATATCGCTGAAGCAGAAACCCAATGGAGTCTCGTTGATCGACCTAGACTGTTTGAGAGCAAAAAGTTTTTAGTCAGTGAACGAAAATGGCCACCCAGAGCTGTTGAAGCAATGGAGAATTTCCGAAAGGTCAAGGAGTGATCGATGAGTTTGGTATGGTCCCACCAAGGGTTGAAAAGCATAAAGTTCCTAATCATTGTACCAGCTACGGTATGAGGTTTTGATGTGACCGTTAAATGTTCAGCCAGCATAACCTAGCGACGCTTTCTGCTGGTTCCCCTGCCTCCAGTGCTGGAAAGAATGCTGACTTTTTCTTCCTCGGGTTCAGGTTCTTTCTTCGCTTCACGGGTCTGCCGAACCTTGGAAAGACTACTTTCCTTGGTTTTCGCAGGTAGCTTGGAGAGTGCCAAACCACGTGCCAGTGCTTCTGGTCCTGAAAGAACCACATGTGCTTTGCCTAACTTGCGCGTTTCTTCCTTCAAAGCAGCCGCAGATGCAAGCGGCGTGTCATCTGCTTGCATCTGGAGCGTCTTTGTGCTCTCCAGCATCTTGCGCAAGCGTTTTTCTCTCTTATTTTGGCCTGGGCCTTTGCCGTGAAACTTATGGCAAAGCATTCTGAATGCCTCTTTCCTCGTCAGCTCATTGCCGTATTCGTCCGTGTAGGAGAGTTTGATTTCCCGCCTGCCATTCTCCCGGGTTTCGGTTCCGGTTGACTCGTCAAACCGCTTGTCACGCGCTCTTCCCATTTGGTTGGGTTTGTGTTTCAGCTCCCCCATGGCCCTCAATCTCCGCAAAGTAGCAGCCAATCCGTTGTCCGCACTAGGAGAGGCAGCAAGGCCCACTGGCTCCACGATCGGCTGTAGCGATAACTCCACATCTTGAGCCTCCTCAGCTTCTCTCACGGAGCCACTCGCACTATTCTCATTTGCTGCCTGCTTGATAACCTTTCCTGGAGGTTCTTCTGTTTCTCTTGCAGTCTTCTGCAAGCCAGCCCCATTTTCTTTCTTCCCTTCCGGCGGAGTGGAATATTCGCCGTCCCCTTTACCGTTAACCTTCCCATCACTAGAGCCCTGCGCAGTCGGGATCTTCTGTAGGAATTGCTCCATTTCGTTGTAGACACTTCGCTCTGCATCGTGCGCAGCAGCGGCAGCCTCGTTTCCTTCAATCACGACAGCAGCGTTCGCGCGATCAATAGCCTCAAGAATGGTATCAACACTTGACTTGATCTCTTTGTTTTTTGCTCTGCGCGTAGCCTTTGCGAGATTTGTGTAGAAAGGATCGTCATCATCGCTATCGTCGTACATATTTGCTGCGCTATTGGCGGCTTTCCGTATCTCCTCCATGCGTCCCTTTTTCACTTGCGGATCAGCGCTCATTCTTTGTGGTTCACCATGACCGTCCTGCTCTACTTCACTTACGCGGCGTCTCTTCTTGCCCCGCTTGCTCTGTTCATGCTTTCGGTGCTTCCGAACTGCTGTATCATTATCTGCTTTACGGCCTCCTTTGTAATCGCTCTCGACAACAGGTGAGGCAGTAGGCTCGATGGAAATCGTACCAGGGTTAATTTTCATGCCAGCGCTAAACTCTTTAGTATCTGTGCCGTCGTATGTGGCCCCACAAATCTCCGGCGATCGGGGCCGTTTCTTCACGACTTTCAACGGATTTACCAGAGCATCCTCCGCAGGATCGCTGTCTCCGTCCGTCTTGTTCTCTGGAAGTATTGGGGCATCTGCAAGCGTGAGAATTTCGCCTTGAGCAGGAGATCCCTGAATCGCTGGCTTCGCGGAATGACTGATCGCGCTAGCCTTGTTCACGGCACGGGCCGCCTTCCTCTCCCGTGGAGACGCTTTTGATTTTCCCTTCGACTCTACACTAGCTTCTTTTTGACGAGAGCGAGCAACCCACGCCATAAGCCCAGAAGCCTCGTCAACATCATCACTGTCCTCCTCCAATAAGGCCTCCTCCGCAATCGAGCGAACACCAACTGCTCTAGCGCGTGTCTTTCGCGCACGTCTCGCCCTCTCCAGTCTTTCCTTTAAAGCTTGAGCTTTCCGCGATGATTGTTTGTCTTCCACAGGTTCTTCTTTTGCAGCTGATATCTCTGTACGCAACGGTCGAAGCCCGAGAGCTGCTCTGACGCGATTGGTTTCCTCGACGGAACAGGTTATTTCGCCATTCTTTGATGTTACAGTAGCTCGCAGTGTTGAGGGTGCGGTTGCTAGGAGCTCGTTTTCATGTTTTGCAGTTTGTTCGGGCTTTGTTCGCAACGGCTTGATGCCGAGAGCGGCTCGGATACGGTTGGTCTCTTCTACGCTACATGATATCACGCCGTTGCGCTTGGTAACTTTTGCTCGAAGGATGGGTGGCGAACTGGATGAAGAAGGCGCCGTCATTCCAAGAGGCAGATTGCTCTCATCAACTTCAAGAGAGTGAACTTGGTCCCTGCAAACCTCGACAAGCAAAGGTACGGAGTGCCGCCAGCGATGCAAAATGCATTGTATAAAGAGTCAAACTACAGTAGAGCTGGGATGAGCATGATGTACATGTGTACACGTGTATACCGTTGCCATAGCACATCCTATTCTTTGCGATGCACGCATCGCGAGTCCTAAAGGGGGGGTGCCCCTTAAATGGAACACCCTTCCTAACTGCGGAACGATGAGAAACCCTCGAAAAGTATTCAATAATTAAGAACAACAGCCCAAGTGGCCACCAAACGCAATCAAAGTTAGGTATTACAGTCCCATTTCCCCGCGACGTAAATGCATACCGAAACACCACCATCCTCAGTCCCCGCCACATCCAAAAAAGGCGCCATTTCGTGATGACACCGTAGAATACAGTATATCTTCCCCGCGATTCTCACTCGGCTGCGACCGTATCTGTTGGCACAGCGACCAGAGCCTCTCAAGACTTTTCGAAGCATGGCGATTTCGAAACGGAGAATACATCGCAATTTTGTGCGGGCTCGTGCTCGTTTCAACATAGCCGTCGACGCCGTGAAAGAAGGTGCTACAATGCGCAGTGCGGCGTGAATGGCTAAGCTACCTTTGTCCACATTTCATCGTCGTTACAAGAAAATTGACGACAACCCCGAAGAGCAGCCCCTGCATCATCGTCGGACCCTCACCACTGAAGAGGAAGACACAATAATTGAACTGATTAAGACGTACGCAAGCCATGGCTACCCGGTGGGCCACGAAACTATTAAAGATGCAGTTGAAATTCTCGTCGGTAACATGGACCCGGAGCGTTAACAAAAACTCCCCTTCAAACACAACCGACCTAGAGACAAGTTTGTGAGGTCATTCAAAAAACTTCACCACAAACTCATCGCGTTTGCACGCGCCCTGCGGCAAAAAGGCATCCGGTTCAATGCTATCAATGCAGAAACGCTTAAAATGCACATTGCGGTGGTGGAGCAGCTCATTAAAGACCACAACATAGACCCTTGTCGCTTAGCAAACCTGGACGAGACTGGAGCCACCGCCGACAAAGAGGCACTGGGCATTACCTCGTTTCGAACGTTTTCCCCTAGAGAAAGCAGGGACGAGGTTCGCATTCCAACGTTCAAGAACGTGTCAAGAGTAACGATCATGCCCGTCATTTGTGCATCAGGGGTAACCGGAAGACCTTTGTTTATTTTTAAAGGTACCAGGATTCTGCATAGAGTGATTGAGAGTAATGAAGGACTTTTCAAGCAGTCAGTCGCAGATGGGCTTCCCCCCAACGCGTTGGTCACTACAAGAGAAGAATTGGTAGGCGTAGATAAATCTAATTTCGCGCGGTGGGCAGAGATGTTCGTGCAAGACATTTTTCACCTTACCAGACAAGAACGAACGTTTTGCTCTTGTATGACGGTTACCGCAGCCACATGAGCCTTAAAGCTTTGACAATTTTACGAAATGGGAATGTGGTTGCCTACTGGCTACCTTCACACACGAGTGGGAAGACACAGCCACTAGATCTGACAGTTTTTGCTTCATTCAAGCATAATATTGCCGCCTGCATCAAGCAGATATCTCTCGTCCAACAAACAGAGCCCTATGATCTATTCGATTTTTGCAATATCCTGCGCCACGCTTACGAAAAGTCTTTCACGCCCGCAAATATTTCTGCTGGGTTTGAGAGAGCTGGATTGTGGCCCCTCAATCCTGCTAAACTACTGTACTCCCCAAAACCGGATGGACGCTGCAAAGAGAAATGCTTTCTGTAGACGAAATGCTACATTTATTAGAACAGAAGCGTATTGCCTGCCGGAACGATATCGGTATACAACCAGTGGTGTTGAAGAGAGGGTTTTTGGACCCCTCAAAAGGTCTGACGTTGACAAGTGACGCCGCCATGCAGATGATTGAGGGAGAGGAACGCGCGAAGCGCGTTAAGTTTGAGGATACGCAGCGGAAGAAGGCGGAAGCGAACGCGAAGAGAGCGTTTGAAGCGACTATGCCAAAGCAAGCTCGGCATGATGCCGAATTTGCTACGGCACGCCGTCGTACCTCACATTACGGCGAACCATTTGTCGTGCCTCGACCTTTGCACATACGTCGTGCTCTTGCTGCGAAGAAAGCAGCTGATAGAAGGGATGCTGCTTCTGCGCTTGCGTCTTTGAGGTGCAACTGACAGCGGCATGGTCAGCTACAGATTCGTGCTCTGATAGATATTTGAAGTAAATTTTTTGTGCATTGCTGTTTCTAAATTTGTTCCACATCACGACCGATCTGCCTCATTCTTGAGGCTGTAATCGTACGTGTTGCCATTCAATAAATGCGCCACGTTGAGAAAACAGGACGCCATTCCACTTGTAGATAAATGCACCGTAGTTTCGGCGTTTTGAAGGCTTTTGATTGAATCAAAACCGATCATTCTTTGGTATTTCTATTTTAAATATTCAAAATCGTTCCATTTTAGGGGACCCCCCTTTAGACGTTTCCGCGGAAAGAAAAAGGAAACAAAAGGAAGGTTTCTATTGCAATTCCTGAAAAATATTGAATACATTACAGTATTGGGGTGTGACTGTACAGTACAAACCTTTCTGGCGGGTTGGCGCCAAGACTTCGGTTCAACTTATGACCTGAACAGTACCCAAGGGTATACTGCTCATGTGAGCATGAGCATACTGTGAACAGTATTTAACCTGGTCCAAGTTAAATCCGAAGCCCGTTTTGAGACCAGTTTTCCCCAAATAAGTTGGACCAGGTTAAATACCGACCCAGGTTAATACCTGTCGAAACAGGTATTAGCGTCTTTTAATTAAGCGATGTTTGGGTGTTTCGGTCTTATAAAATCTATAACATGTACAGTTCGATGGTACTGTCTAACTTCGACCTACCGGCTACAGGTCTTATAGTATCCGTACAGCGGTAGTATAACCGCTTGAGACGGGACGCCGCAGTTATAGATTATGCTTGTAGCACATGGCAGATGCACAAGTCCACCCCGCCCTTTCTGAGTAACCCATCTTGCCATTTCGTGACGGCGGTTTCCCCCACCAATATTTTCTTAGTACTTAATACCGCTCGTTTTTACAGATCCTCAAGATACTAAACGGGTCCCCTGCATCCTTCAACGCCCCCTACCCACCTCCAAACACCCCTTGTGAAACTTGTTCTCACAATCCTCACGTTTTAAACGCAATGGCCCCATCTGCAGCTCGTGTTTCTACCCCTCGGCTCAAACTTTCCGTACCAGAGAAAACCAAGCTCTTTCAAATAATTCTCGCAAAACAGGTTTACGAAAAGGGCGGTGCTTCTCTATCCGATTCCTGTGGGACGGTTTGCGAAGATATGAAAGCCTGGATTGAAAAGGATCTAATGGCACCTTATCAAACCCGGGCTGATCGCGAGCGTAGGTCTATGAAGTTCAGCCTTCTCTCTGATGATCGAATCAAGGACGCCTTCAAAAAAGGCGTGCAGAAACACGTGGAGAAAATCAAGTTTGCTGATGTGACTACGCCGGAAGACGGAAATGGGTTTAATGAGGAAGAGGCTGCGCTGCAGTTAGAATGGCTCGGGAGGAACATAGAGTGGGGTGCTACGTTGAGCGAAGAGATGATCGAATGCAACAAAGCCGCTATCAATCTGGACAGGGCAATTCAGGCCATGTATATGTCCAGACAGCAAACAGCGGCGGAAGCGCATGACTCTGTCCGGGAAAGGCGAGCTAAGCGAAAGGAAAAATCGGATGGGGGCCGTGCTTTGTATGCCCAGCGCATGAAGGTCAGAAAAATAAAAATTAAGAAGAAGGAAGCTCTCACAGAGGCCCGCGACCGATTACAGGATGAGGTTTCCATTAACATGTCGCAGTCCTCTCGTGGCATGGTGGGTGCAGTACAGCCACTGGTTTCGCTTTTTGCTGCGAGCATTGGACAGCCCGCCCCCGTTTTTGAATCACTTCTGGTTGTAAATTTAGCACTCCCTACGCCGGATGAAATTGAAGTGATCCTATTCGATGAGGATGATAACGTTGACGGAAATGACCCCACTGCTGATGGGGGAGACGCTGACGACGATGATGGGTCAGTTGATATGGTGGAGGCTCAGGATCAGGTTGACCAATCCCCCGCGAGTATGGTGTAAAATTTTCACAAATTATATTTTCTTAATTGGAAACAACCAATCGCTTTTATGAACACTTCGGGAATGGTGATGCTCTAAACCACCAAGCCCATGGCCATGACGTTCAGAAAATGTTCTTCATCAAACAAAAACGCGTAGACATTGCCCGCATTTTAATGGTAGACCTTCTTTTAAACAGCTATATACCCCCTAGCAAACCGTTTTCGTACGCCTCTACCCTTTCTAAGCGCCTGTCAAGAGAAACAAGGGTTCCCTCCAAACGCCAATTCCAGTTCAAAATCATTGCGCATGACTGATAGCAGATGGGGTAAAGTTCATAGAACACTGGCCACTGCCCTAAAAAAATTCTCCACTTATTCGAAATGGCCCCCACACCCCACTCGTTTGAGATACGTTGATGACGAATGTCCCTGTTCATGATGGATCGATATAGAAAATTGTTGTTTTCTCCGCCACGACTTGGAGTAACAAGAGGGTCTCCACCGATGAACCCCGTGTCACCCATGACCGTCTCGTCTTCACTAAAATAGTCACTCCTGTTACGGATTGGCGTGCTGTTGCCGAATAAAGAGCGATCATGCTCGGACCCCTTCTCACTGAAATCCAAATGAATATAAATTCCGAGGGGATCGACCCAAACTAGAGTACTGTAACAATGCGTGTGATGATGCTCATCATACGCAATGTCCTGTACCTCATTGTCCGCGGATCGAGTGCGTCTCTGCTTAGTGCCATCAACCAGAGCGAAACATTTATCAAAGCCATACAGCATTTTCCCGAGCACTTTCCGCTCTTCGAAATCCGGCCCCTTCTCT